TATTGCCTTAGCTAAACTTTAGCTAACTTACATGGTAGCTCTCATGAGTCATGGATGTTATGTTAGCAAGACAAATTAACTATTTTGCCTTTTGTCTTTTGGATAATTAGCTGTAAATTCAAGGCACAGGTAGCTTAGTCTGTTGTTCATCACCACTCACCTCCACAGCAAGACAAACACAACTGGAAAGGGAGAGAAGGCTCTCTGGCTGTCTGTGACTGATGTGCATGTGCCGATCATGTGTGCTACACTGCTGTGCTGCGGAGACGCGGAGCATTTCTCAACATTTCCTGACCTGATCTATTTTGATTTTTTTATTTGTTTGACTGGGAAAGCTGTGCGCAAACAGAAGCACACACACACACACACACACATTAAAAAACACTCCCCAGAAAAAAGGCCACTTTCTCTCGTGGAAGAAAAAGGGCAGGTGCTCAAGCCCCCTTTGATGTCTATGTGTGCACGTGCCTGCAGTCATCACAAAAAAAGTTAAAATATATTACTAAAAACCATATTCATTGGACATTTAGGATAATCTAGTATTTCAAATAATAACATGGTACCACGTCATAAAAAAATTTAACAAATTCTGTCCAATTCTCATATCCATCATGTCCTATTTTTTTTTGATCTGTAAACGTTGGCAAGAGATCTTGAATAATTTTTATAGCATGTGTTTTCTTCACGAATGACAACAAAACAAATATATTTTTTATCTTGTTAACTCTTGGTTATGACTTTTAAGCTATAGAACAACAATAAAAGCGTAAGCAATAAATAATAAAAAACATGAGCCCTTGGTTAGCAAATTCTCTATACACTTTGCACTATTTGAAGGGACAACCATTTAGTGGTTCCGAAACATAGTTTATCAAAAGAGATTATCAATTGCACTCAATCAATCCCATAATGCACCCTTAATGGGGTCATATAATGCGATTTCAATTTTTCCTTTACGGACTGTAAGTATGTTTTTTATATTTAAAGAGTTTTTATATTTTATATTTTTTATATTTAAAGCGAGTTTTTTGGGCAGTGTAGAGTAGGTCTTGTTGTTTGTAATTTCTCCGATCACAAATGCAGACATGGTTTTATGTTTACGCGGCGCGATGCAACGCAACGCGTAAAAAGACAGTATAAGTCATTATAATCCATAATTATGAAGGCGGGGCATAGAGGAGAAACAATAATGTACAGTATGTGGAAAATAATGTGTTTTTTTAACCTTAAACCGCATAAACACATTTCATTACACCAAATACACAAAATAATGTTCTTTTTAGCAACATCATATGACCCCTTTAATATGAGTACACAACTCCATTTCCAAAAAAATGGGACATTTTGTAAAAAAAAAAAAAAAAAGATTCTGTGATATGTTAATTCTTTTTAACCTTTATTTAACTGACAAAACTATGAAGAAAAATATTTCGAGTGTTTTCACTGACCAACTTAATTGTATTTTGTAAATATAAACAAATTTTGAAGGCAGGAAAACACTCTAAAAAAGTTGGGATGGAAGCAAAATAAAGGTAAAAAGATTGTAGAATATTCAAGTTAAAATGTTTTAAAACATTCCACAATAAGCAGGTGAACTGGTAGTAATAGGTCAGGGTATCATGGTAAAAAAGCATCCATCAAAGTCTCAGTCTTTGCAAACAAAGATGGGTCATAGCTTGTGGGTCAAAGATTGTCAAACCATTCAAAAATGTATTAAGGTCTTTCGACATCTTGTGAAAAGATTCAGGGAATCTGAAAGAATCTCAGGCCATATAGTGACAGGCAGGAAACCTCAGCTAAATGTGCTATGAGCCCTTAGATGGCATCGCATGAGAAACCATCATGCTATTGTGTTAAATAGAATGACATGTGCATTGGGGGGGGGGTTAAAAAAAGGTTGTCATTGTAATAAAGTTGTAATCTCTGTTTTGCAAGAAAGTCACACATAAATTATATGCAAGGATGCTGTAAGGTTCTCCTCTCAGAACAGAATGAATTGTGTCCACATTTCAGAATTCAGAATTGTCATATGTGTCCACATTTCAGCTTGTTTTTGGGAAAAACAGACACTGAGTTCATTGTGCCAAAAAACAAAACAAAACAACAACAACAAAAAAACAAAAAAAAACAAACAAACTGAAGAGACCATCCAGACTTTTGTCAGCGACAGGTCCAAAAACTAACATTTGTCATCGTATGGGGTACATTAGTGTCCCCCACATGGGTGACTTGCATATGTGTGAAGGTACCATTGTGGCTAAGGCATATATTGGGATTGTAAAGAGACATATGCTGGCATCAGAATTGAGTCTTGGTTAAATCCATGGTTAGTTAGACCAGGGCTGCATTAAGACCTCACTGGGCACCGGGGCTATGACTTACTGCAGGGCCCCCCATCACAATATATATATATAGCTTAAAATAGGATTTTTATCCAATCAAAATTTTTGATGCATTGCAATTTCATAATTCATGTTACCAATTCCAATATCACAAAATAAAAAAAAATAAAAAAATACTAGCCTACGTAAAAACAAACTTACAGAAGACAAGTAAACAGTCATAAATTACAATAGAACAAAGAAATTGACCTACAAACACTTAAAGCACTGAATAAGAAATAGTGTATAAAATAAATAGACTACAAATAGACTGAATAGTCTTCACTGTATAAATTCTATATACATTATTTTACAAAAGCGATTCGGTCAAGGACAGTGAGTGATTTTCTTTCTAATGTTTAATTTACATTATTGACACAAATGGCAACAGCAGCTATATTAGGCTGCTTTGGAGGAATAGTTCACCCAAAAAATTAAAGTTATGTTGTTGTTGTTCTAAACCTGTATGAGTTTCCTTCTGCTGTTGAATGTAAACATATATATTTGAAACAATACTTGTAACCAAACAGTTTCTGTGCCCCCATGACTTCCCTAGTATGAAAAAAAAAAGAAAAAAGAAAAGAAAAGAAAAACACTATTGGAGTCAACAGGGACCAGAAACTTTCTGGTGGTTACGAATATTCTTCAAAATATCTTCTTTTATGTTGAGGAGAACAAAGAAATTCATACAGGTTCA